CGCCACAGGGGGGGCAGGGGGGCAGCCGCCCCCCCCCCAACTCTGAACACTGGGGCCCTCTTTCAGCCAGCATGTCAGGTATGGACGGAATACTCTCTGACTGTGCAGAAAGAAGACTTCTGGGCAGAGCTGACTTCAGAAGTGGGGAATCAAGCCAAAGGGGGCCTTCTCAAGGTGCCGCCGCCAAGATAAAGCTTACGGGCTTTGGCCCATGTTTTTCGAAAAGGGTCCAATTTAGCAAAACAAAAAAGCGAAAGAAAATCAGTTATTTTTTATCTTGGGTGATTGTGGCCCTGTCCTATCTTCCCAGGCTGTAGAAAGGGCCCGGGCCAAAGAGGGCCCATGCCACGTCTGAGAGGGCCCATTCAATATATGAAAGGGCCCAGGCAAGGTCTGGGAGGTACCATATTATGCCTGAGAAGCACAGGGCCCATACCAGTCATGGCAGGGCCCGCAGCGGTGCTGAGATGGCCCTTGGAAGGAGTGCGACAGCCTGTAAAATGCCTGAGAGGGCCTATACCAGCAGTGACAGGGCCCATAGCAGTACTGAGAGGGCCCACAGCAGGGCCCATAACAGTACTGAGGGGGCCACCACAAGTTATACCTATGAGGGCCCGTACCCTGACATATTACTGGAGGGTTATGTCAGTCAATGGCAATCATGGAAGGGCCCCCAGCAGTACTGAGAGGACTGTTGCAATGACTAGGAGGTCCCGCACCATACCTGAGAGGGCCCATACCAATCATGCGAGGGCCTGCAGCAGCAGGGTTGTGCTTGACTCATGAGTCGAGTCAGAAATTTGACTCAACTCTGACTCAAATGAGTCAGATTTGAGTCGAGTCGGATAAAATGTTGAGCTGTTGAGTTGAGTCAGAGTTGAGTCAGACAAAAATATTAAGGCGTTAAGTTGAGTCAGAGTTGAGTCAGTAAAATAACTTGACATTGAGTTGAGTCAAACACCCCCCCCGCTTAACAACTTAGCCCTGGCCCTGCTGCTGGATTTTTTTTTCACCCCCCCCCCCGCTCAACAACTTTTTTATCTGAGTCAATTTTGAGTCAACTCACTTGATTCAACAAAAATTTGAGTCAAGTTTGAGTCAACTCATATTTTCATTCAGCCGCTTGAGTCATGAGTCGAGTCAAGGGAAAAAAATCAGCTCCTTGTTTGAGTCAGAGTTGAGTCAGGGCTTTCTGAAGTTGAATGATGAGTCGAGTCGGCAATTTTTTTTGAGTCGAGCACAACCCTGTGCTCGGCTCAGGGTTGGGCCCTCCTGTTTGAGCCACTGTCCGTCCGAGTCACTTCCCAGCCGAGAGGCGGGGCATGATAAACTCGAGTATTGAAACACGCTTTTGTTCAGAATTTTGACTGCTCAGGCTGATTCAGGTTGTTAACGTGGAATTCGTTGCTCAGGACTCAGGATAGCTAACAGCTTCCAAAAAAAGGTTACCTTTTCATGTCACCACAAGAACAATGTCTTGCCTGTTGTCGAACGGACACCTCGGTTTTTCGCGAATAATTCGCGTAAAGAGCGGCTGATCGCGACGAAACTTTCAGTACCCTCGCGTTAATCAATTTTACACCTATCCCAAAAACCTCATGGCCATGACCCTAATGACCTTTGACCTATCATGCCTACTTTTCGAGACCATGTTTGGCCGGAATCGCGATTCAGCGTATGTCGGCTCGCATTAGCCGCGCGTTTGCAGTCTTTTCGTGGTATCAAGCGTTCAAACATGGGATATGATGTTGCTCTCATGCATTAGGGTGGCTGTCAAGGTCACCGGAAGTTAAGGTCAGGTCATTGATCTTTGATGACCTCGGTTCACTTTTTTCGAGTTTTACATGTCTCTAGGCTATTTTTTTAGCTAAATTCGAATTTAGCAGCCATTTGAACATTTACGAAGTAATTTTGGTGCCTTCGTTACATGTTACGAAGCTGTCAGAGGCGGTTGCCACCTACTACGAATACCCGGCAAAACCCTTACCTACTGGTTGACCTGACCTGACCTGACCCGACCTGGCCTAAATGCATATAGACATCATATACGATCATAACTAACATGATATTCGTGATCATCACCCCGAAAACCCCCATAGCAGCAACCCTTCACGACGTTCTAACATATCCCGATTTTCCCGACTTTTGGGCCATTGACCTGACCTTGAAGGTTAGCCGATGACCAAGGACCTTAAAATTGGGTATCATCGGCTTCCTCTCGTCACGGGCAGCACGCTCGTTTTTTTCTGCGAAGGTCTAGCTTGATCAGGGGCGAAACGACAAGGGGGGGTGGGGGATGAACGGACTCCCGCCCCCTATACGTTCGTGGCTGTAAAAAAAAAAAAACACCAATACGGGCGAGGGGCGAGAGTGTGTCTTTTAATACAAAAGTTCTTGTGTATAAGGCAACGGTTGTGGGAATGGTAGGTCAAATACAAATAAAGGCTTGCATAGTATTGACGGTATTGACGATATTTCGGAAAGTTTGGGACCCCCATCAATTGTTTGGGCCCTTTTTCTGAAAAGCTGCCCCCGCAAGACGAAATCCGTGGCGCCGTCCCTGGATGATTCGACGCGTCTCGACGAGAAGAACACGATGCTGGCAAAAGTAATGTCATGGCTCTTTTGAGTCAAAAGTTATTGCCGAAAAAACGTTTTTCGTTAAAAACGGCTATTTTTGAAGTTTTTGCCCTCTGGAGGCTAAACCGTTGACCTGAGGTCAAATCTGAGAACAAGACTCAGAAATTTCTGTAAAAAAGCTATCGAATGCGCTTTTCCGCGGCGCTGTAGCTCTATCGGTTCCCGAGATAGCCGTCGGCAGTTTCCAAATTGTTGAAATAGTCAACATTTTACCTTTGGTGACCTCTGGTGACCTGACCTTTGACCTGACTCTTAAATGACCCAAGTGTTTTCGTCCTTATTTTGGACGTTCTTTCGATTGCCGCTTACCGCGTATCGCTACGTGGCCCAGGAGCCGAGTTAGAAGGGGGTGTGTGTGTTCAGACACCCCGGCCCGGCGCGGAATCTCAGAGCACCGGCCCGGCGCGGGTTAAAAAGTGATTTGAGTAGTATGTACCTATTATGGTATATGTGCCGGGTATGAAGAGACAAAAAACAAGACGGTACATGCCTTTTGTGCAGCAATATCAATATTTTGCTGCCCTATGACACATTCCGAATTGCGCCAACACAAAATGCGCCATGGCATGGGCGCATAATGACTCGGACTGTGGATTGGGACATGTCAGGACCTACATTGTGTGCAAGTTTCGGCTCGATCTGAGGTGTCCCGAATCTGGGCTGAATCCGGGGTGCGTTCTAGGGGGTGTCAGATAATTGTACTTTTTGACCTGCCCAGGTCAAATGGGGTCACATAGCGAGAAGCGGTTTCGAGGAAAAGTTACTACGTCTCATGGGCTCGTATGCTTTGATTTAGAATTCGGTCGATCCTTATCACGCGCACCGACTGGGGAGGGGGCGGATATCCGCCCCACTGAGGTTTTTCGCGAATAGCGGGAAAACCGCGGCACGTAGCGCCGCGAAATTTGGTACGAATATTCTCTCATCAATTTTACACATGGTGTGCAAGTTTGAACCTCCTACCTTTTAAGGTCAGGTCACCAGGTCACTTTGAATGACCCAACCTCAAGTTACTTTTTTGCAACTTTGTCACCGTGCCAGAGCTACAGTAGATGTCGGAGGCCTTTGAAAGTCGCAGGATGTTATGAGGTCATTAGTAGCTACAATTTATATGTCTCGGAATTTTGATATCGATGACCTAAGGTCAGGTCAATTTCTCGACCTCCCCATTTTAAGTCAATGGGGGAAAATCAACTCCCTATTTTTACCACTAAAACGGGTCGGAATGGCCCCATAAACCATACAAGACCTCATATACGATCAACCTTCACTACCTTGAGGTCTGTTTTGCTGTTGGGCAGCTGTAAGGTCATGTGACGTCATCAAAGGTCACCAGCGGTTTTTTGACAATAACTCCGTACAGGAACAAGATATAGTCGCGCGGATGGTCTCATTGTGTTCAGCTCGTCAAGGCGCATCGAATGATATGCATGGTGACCTCGAGGTCACGTGACCTGAGGTCAACCTTTGACCTTGACCTTTCGAGGTCAACATATATATCATTCGATGCTGATTGACGAGAGGATCACGATGATGCCCTTAGTTTGTTCCTATATTGACTAGTTCGAAAGTTATTCGAGAAAAACTCCATACCGCCGCCATTTTGACTTTTTTGACCCCTTCGACGTCATCTTTGACCTGACCTGAAAATGACCTTAGTAAAAATTGTAGACCTTGTCCGTGCGTATCCCTTGCCGTTTACTGCTTGTCGCTATCTTGCTTCGTTCTCGAGATCTCAGGGGGGGGGGGCGGTCATCCTCCCCCCCGTCGGTACGAAGTTGGCGCAGACCCCCGTCGCGTCGGTTCGCGTGTTATGCTCGAGAACCGCTGTGCACGTGTATTTTTGACATGGCCCGCAAATGACCTTAGGTCAACGCATGACCGCGGGAGGTCAAATTGCTAGTGGGAAAGTAAAATCAGATGCCTGCGAGTCGTTTGGTGCCGTTTTTGGCGCTCTAACCAAAAACGGCACCAAACGAAAAACGGCACCAAACGCCCTTCCAAGTTAGCTCCACTTGGAAGGGCCATAAACTGCTGTGCAGATTGGGCCACGTGACCTTTGCTGACCTTTGTAGGTCAAACGGCTGGGAGGGCTACCGAATGACTCTGACTATGGATTGGGCATGTCAAGTCTACATTGTGTGCGAGTTTCAGCTTGCTCGGAGGCGTCCCGAATCTGGGCTGAATCTCATCGGAACCGAGATCAAGATCGCAGATCCTTTTTTATTCATGCGCAATGCGCATATTTGGTCGATTTATAATTTTCCAACAATAGGCGCTCCATCACCTAGATATTGCTAAATGACGACACTTCCTTCGGATCAGGTAACACAATGTCGCATCGTTACAAAACTATGCCAGGGTCGTGGAACAACGTTTATTGCAACATTTGCATTCTCAATTCACTGGCAAAGGTCATTTGACCATACGGAGCAGCAAGGACTAATTCCACGTCCGGGTCAGGTCAGGATTTCAGAGTTGTTGTTATGTCGGGAGGTCAGCGGTGGCCAGTGGCGAGTGGTGGGCGGGGTTCGCGGTTAGCATCGCGATTAGGAGGTTCACGATCACCTTTCACCCGCACCCGTGATCAACCCGTCCATTCAGCAAAAACGATAAATTACCGCACCCGTGATCAACCCGTCCATTCAGCAAAAACGATAAATTAGACACGCTTACAAATGCTCTATTCAATTACGGGAGCAGTGGCACAATCCAATTGATAAGCACGGAGTGAGCGGCGTCTATTTGTGACTGTCCGATGCGCCGAAGTCGCCCTGGTTTATCAGCTATCACGACAGTACACGAAAGCTCATCCACCGCCCGCCACGGACCTTCCTGGCACGGATTCGCCACCAGTTGGCCGCTACACTGGCGTGCCTTATGTGCATCCTACTTGGCACTTCTAGCATGACGTGGGTGTGAACATGGCACAAGTCTCTACATTATAAACTAACAGAATCAGACTGAGTTTCAAGAACTGAAAGAGCGGACGATGGTCCGTTACGAACGCGAGCTCTGTCATCGTCACTAACACCGCGGCACTTAGGACAGTGTCGTCACTTTCACGCGCCTCTATTTCCTCACTCACTCAGCCAAACACGCCACAACTCCACCGTTCGCTCGGTCAGACACGCCCCAATGCCATCACTCGGCCAAACACGCCACCCAAATCTCTAGCAGCTCGGCGCGTGAGGCGGCCCGCAGCAGGGGAACCACCAGCTCCTTCAGACCGCCCTCGGTCTGCGTGCCGCCCTCCTGCGTGCTGGTCACCTCGCAGGCGGTGCCGGCGTCGGCCGTGGTCGGCTCCGCCTGGACGTGGACGTGCCGGCCGGCGAGCCGGGCCGTCTGCACACCGGCGGTGCGCCGCGCCGGCCGCTCGGTGGCCGTGGCCGCCTCGCGGCGCGGCGGCTCCGCCTGCTGGCCGGTGCTGCGCAGCTGGGGCGGCGCCGTCTGCTGCGCCTCCGACCGTAGCTCGGGCGGCGGCGGCGTCTGGGTGACGGCGGCCAGGACGGCGGCGGCGGCGGCCGGGCCGGCTGCCGCGTCCACCAGGGCTGGCGAACAGGTCTGGGTGGACGCGCAGCAGGTGGCCGGGCGCTGCTCGACGTCAGGGGCCGGCTCTCCCAGGTCGGGTGTCGGCTCTCCCAGGTCGGGTGTCGGCCCCTCGCCGTCGGGTGTCGGCTCCTCAGCGTCGGGTGTCGGCTCCTCCATGTCGCCAGGTGGCGCTGCGGGCGCCGTCCTACCGGCCGCGTCCGTCCTGGGCAGGCACGACAGGACAGTCAAAGAGATGGAACAAGAGTTTCGGTCCATACCAGGAATAAACTGGATTATGTCATGCACAAAACATATCTGACCTAAACTGGAACCAAATATTTTGAACGAAAGCATCTACAAAGTCAACAGCCGCGATAAGCAGAACTTATTTCTTATGCCGCTCGCGGGCCGTAGCGTCCCAGTATCAATTGGCTAGACATCTAGCATCCAAAATCAACTGTTATATGATTTTTTTTGCACTGTTTTGATAGGCACGGTAATTATGCTCATGTTAACCACACTCTTGTTTTTAAAAAGAAATATTCTTAAGGATACTATTAATTACAGGTTGAGAAAGGCACAAATCCAAATGTTTCTTAATTTTGTGTTTGGCTTTACATAATTTTTCCTTTTTGTAATAAGAGCAAGGTAAACATTCCTGGTAAAAGCAGTTATGTCGGAAGATCACCAGTCCGTCCCAGTCAAAACCTGACGACTGTTGTCGCTATTCTAGTAGCAGGCCTGACTCCCGTAAAACATTATGACCAGCTAACACCAAACTCGACATGGACTCGGATAGGCTCGAGTTCAACGTTGTAATTACTAAAACCTGGCCGCCACTCTCTCAGTCTGACCGCCAGTCCTTCCCAGTCTGTCCCCAGTCTGCCCGCTCCCTGAACGGCCAGTCTGCCCTAGTCTGTCCGCAGTCGGGCACTGACCTCTGCTGCCGGACGGCCAGGTAGCCACTGAGCGCCGCCGTCACCGTCTCCACGCGCGGCGAGCGGAACGGCAGGTCGGCCAGCTGCGCCGGCGGCAGCCGGGCCAGCTGTCCGACCGTGCTGACGCCGCGTGCCGACAGCAGCCGCACCAGGCCCGTGCGCCACGAGGCAGACGTCAGCCGGTCCACCAGCTCGGCCACGCTATCCGTGCAGTCGGCCAGCGCCGGGCACAGGCCCGCCGAGTCGCCACACGCCGCCGGGGGCGACTCCTCAAAGTCCTGTGACGGCTCCATCCTGAGGCCGCGCCGGCCGCGGCCCCGAGAGGCGCGCAACGGCGGCCGACCGGCCCGCGGGATCTCCACGCTGTCCGAGACGGGCGGCTCGGCAAACTGAACCGCGCGCCGCTGTGGGGGAGACACGACACGACACACTGTCAGACGGGCGGCTCAGTGAACTGGAGACACGCTGTCAGACGGCCAGCTCAGTGAACTGGAGACACGCTGCCAGACGGGCGGCTCACTGAGCTGGAGACACGACACACTGTCAGACGGACGGCTCACTGAGGTGGAGACACGACACACTGTCAGACGGGCGGCTCACTGAACTGGAGACACACTGTCAGACGGGCGGCTCACTGAACTGGAGACACACTGTCAGACGGGCGGCTCACTGAACTGGAGACACACTGCCAGACGGGCGGCTCAGTGACTTGGAGACACTGTCAGACGGACGGCTCACTGAACTGGAGACACACTGTCAGACGGACGGCTCACTGAACTGGAGACACACTGTCAGACGGGCGGCTCACTGAACTGGAGACACACTGTCAGACGGGCGGCTCACTGAGCTGGAGACACGACACACTGTCAGACGGACGGCTCACTGAGGTGGAGACACGACACACTGTCAGACGGACGGCTCACTGAACTGGAGACACAATGTCAGAGGGGCGGCTCACTGAACTGGAGACACACTGTCAGACGGGCGGCTCATTGAACTGGAGACACACTGTCAGACGGGCGGCTCACTGAGCTGGAGACACGACACACTGTCAGACGGACGGCTCACTGAGGTGGAGACACGACACACTGTCAGACGGACGGCTCACTGAACTGGAGACACAATGTCAGAGGGGCGGCTCACTGAACTGGAGACACACTGTCAGACGGGCGGCTCACTGAACTGGAGACACACTGTCAGACGGGCGGAACTGGAGACATGACACACTGTCAGACGGGCGGCTCACTGAGCTGGAGACCCGACACACTGTCAGACGGGCGGCTCACTGAACTGGAGACACACTGTCAGACGGGACGGGCGGCTCACTGAACTGGAGACACACTACCAGACGGGCGGCTCACTGAACTGGAGACACACTGTCAGACGGGCGGCTCACTGAGCTGGAGACACGACACACTGTCAGACGGGCGGCTCACTGAGCTGGAGACACGACACACTGTCAGACGGGCGGCTCACTGAACTGGAGACACGACACACTGTCAGAGGGCGGCTCATTGAACTGGAGACACACTGTCAGACGGGCGGCTCACTGAGCTGGAGACACGACACACTGTCAGACGGGCGGCTCACTGAACTGGAGACACGACACACTGTCAGACGGGCGGCTCACTGAAGTGGACCCGGCTGCGGGGGACTGGAGACACGACATTCTGTCACCGGCCGGAGACGGCCGGGGCTGAGGGAACAGCCCCCGTCTGTGCAGCTCTTGTCAGACCCTCAGGGAGACAGCAGGGAGATGAACCAGGCCCACGGTAAAAGAGGACTGACGAACTTTACTTAGTCAAATCTTCCGCACCGATCAAATAATATTGTTGCCAACTGAAAAGAGGATTGGCATTGAACCAGTGTAAAACAAGCGACTCTAAGAAATAACCGTTAACATGCGAATAGTTATCATTCGTCCAGGTCACGGAATGGCGGCCTGCAATAGCACGGCGCCAGCCTCTACGGACAGGGCCGCGGACCCATCATCCGGTCGCCTTACCTTGCCGGGCGTGGGCGGCGAGTCGACCGAAGGCGGGCCCATCAGCCGCCGCCGCTTCAAGATGCCCGCGCTGGGGGACGCCTGAGGCGAGTACACGTGGCGGGCCCAGGGCGGCCGCCGCTGCACCGGCGTCGACGGCGTGGGCGGCAGCGCCGGCAGCGACCGCTCGCGCTCGGGACTCTCGGCAGCGTCTGCGGGCGGCGCCTGTCGCTTCTGGGCCAGCCCGACCAGGCGAGCGGCGCGGGACGTGGCCACTGGCGGCGGCGCGGGGGCGGCGGCGCGTCTCGGCGGCAGACCGCCGTTGAGCTCGGGGGACGCGAACAGTTCCTCGGACTCAGCGGGCGGCGGCGGCGGGCCGGCCGCCGGCGCCGCGTCCCCGGCAGCCTCCGAGCTCGGCGTGGCTGGCTCGTCCAGACCGAGCTGGCGCCGCGCGCTGCAGACCGCCGGCTCGGAGAGGCGCGACAGGCGCACCACGGCCCGCTTCAGAGGCGTGCCCTCGTGCTCCTCTGGCGGCGGCTCCACGGCGGCCGGCCCGTTGGAGTCCGTCACCGTCACCCCGGGTTCCGCCGGGGCGGTTCTGTCCGATTCGGTCGCCGCCACCTGAGGTGATTCAGTCACGCTCACACTGTCCATCGGCTCCGGGTCACCACCGACGGGCGCAGCGGCGGGTGGCGGAGGAGTGACGGCCCGGTCCGCGCGCTCCGACTGGGTCTCCACGACGACCTCCGGCACCGCCGGAGCCTTCAGCGGACTCTCTGGAGGGGCGCCAGCGGCCGCAGCCGAGGGAGTGATGTCGGCTGTGTCGGCGGCAGTCGCTGCAGCGACACCGGTAGCAGCATCGTCCGAGGGTGCGCTCTCGTCCATTGGAGGGGCATCTTCGTCTACTGGAGTGGCGCCTTCATCCTCCGGGAGGGCGCCCTCATCCACCGGATGAGTGCCTTCATCCGCCGACGGAGCGCTCTCGTTCACAGTAGAAGGGCTCTCACCCACCGCGGCAGTTGCGCCATCAGCCACCGGCCCGTTGGACTGGGCAACGGACGCCTCGGTTTCTGGGATCCCCTCCGGTGACGGCGCCGCCTGTTCATCGCTCTTCGCTGGCTCTGACGCGTCATTTTCGTCGGTCGCCGCCGGTGCCACGACGCGTTGGTCGTCGCTCATCGTCGTTTCTGCCGCGTCCTGTTCCTCCGTCACCATCGGTTCTGTCCCGCCCGGGTCCTCGCTCGCAGCGACCTTCACCGGCGGCTCCTCTTCCGTTAGGTCGGCCGGCCGCTCTGCCGAGATATCGCCGTCCGGCGGTGGTGCGCCGCACTGCTCCGGCGGCGTCTGGGTGTCCATTTCCACGGATCCCTCCTCCTCCGGCCGCCCGGGGTCGGTGGCTGCCGCGGCGGCCGGAGGCCGGCTCGGCTCCGGCGGACTCTCCTCCATGAGACGTCTCTCCGACAGCGTCACCACGGCGGTGCGCCGGCGGCGAGTGCGCGCGCGCCGCGCCTCGGCAGCCGCCAGCCGGCCGGCCGCTCCGCGCTTCGGCTGCTGGCTGGCCTGGGAGTCCGGATCGGAGCCCTCCTCGGACCGAGCCGACCTGCTCGTGCTCAGTCTCCGCCTCTTCAGCGCCAGCGACGGCCCGTCCGTGTCGGGAGCGGCCTGCAGCACGGCCGGCGCCGACTCGGCCTCCGCCGGCTCGTCGGCGCCGGACGGGGCGCTGGGCGCCGGCTCCGAGCGCCTCCGCCGGCGTCTGTCGGCCTCCAGCAGGCGGCGCGCGCTGCTGATGAACGCGGCCACCTGCGGAGAGCGTTTGATGGTCCGCCGCGGCCTGCTGCGCCGGCCCACCGGCGACGAGTTGCTGGATGGCGTCGGAGCGTTCCCAGAGGGTGGCTCAGCGTCCTCCGAGGGTGGTTCAGCGTCCTCCGAGGGTGGTTTAGCGTCCTCTGGGGGTGACGGAGCGTCGCCGGGGGATGGTGAAGCGTCGCCCTCCCCGGCGGGCGCGTCCTTAGAGGCCGGCGGCACGTCCGAGCGGTCTGCGTCGGCGGCGTCCACTCCGTTTTCCGCGGCGTCCCCAGCCTTCACTGCCGTCCTGGTAGCCTCTCCGCTTGGCGGCGACGGCGGGGGCGTAGCGTCCTCCGTTTTACTCAAGGGCGCGGGATCCGTCTTGCGCGAAGGCGAGGGGTCCACCTCACACGAGGACGCAACACTGTCCGTGTTCTTCGGAGAGGCGGCACCGTTTGTTTTGGCTGGGGAGGCGGCGCCGTCCACTGTGGTCGGGGGCGCGTCCATAGCCTCCTCCGTGTGAATGTTCAGTCCACTGGTGGCCACTGCGCCGGCGGGCCCCGTCGCCGCCGCGCCCGCCGGCCCCGGCAGGGACTGCCGCAGCCTTCTGGGCCGTCCGCGCCGCGGAGCCCGGCGGGGCAGCTCCTCCGACTGGGCGGCGGGCGGCCCGCCCACCGCGCCGGCGAACGACACGGCGCCGGGCTCCGGCTGCGACTCGGTGCCGAGCAGGCGGCGGCGCGCGCCCGACCGGCTCCCGGAGGCCGACAGGGAGGCGGCGCCGCCGGCCGGGGCCGCGGGCGTCCTCAGCTCGGCGCCCGTCTGGCTGTCGTCCGGCGCCGCGGCGGCGGCCGCCAGCTGCTGGGTGTCCTGAGACAGGTCGGCGTACAGCGCCGGGATCGAGTCGCGCGGCGCGGCGCGCACCTCGCGCTGGTGCTCGGTCAGCGGCCGCGGTCCGGCCGGGGACGGCGGGATCACCACGAACTGGAACCGCACACAGACAAACGGGCGTCAGACATCGGGGGTGCTTACTGCTTGCAAATGACGTTCAGTAACGATAGAAATGTGTTTTTACGACGGATTCATCGGCTGTCTAAGGTACGAAATAATCGATCTCAACTTTATAACGCATACCAACGATAAATACAATAAAAAAACTCTTGATGCTTCCAGAAACACGAATTGCAAACAATGAACATATATCGGCACACTACCGCGCCGAACACGCTGTAGGCATAGCGTCAGGCTGGTGAGGTAAACCAATGTAAGCGCTCGACCAATAAGCCAGATACCACGCCTCAAAGGCCTTCCCAAGCTGAAGCAGCCAAGCCGTGATGGAACAATAAAGAAAAGTCAATTATTTCACCAATCACGTGCAAATAACAGACAGTATAATGTGACACACGGAGTAAAAACCGGGTTGACATCTACATGCGTTGCGAAAACTGAGAGTTGTTATAGGTTGGGCACTCGCAGTCATTTCTGGTGGGGTGCCCGTACTCGACCCAGCCCCACCCCCTGCACCCACTGATGGGGCGGTGTTACCGGCCCTACTCCCGTCATTGCTCCCACCCTTGCTCCGGTTGATCCCTTCCCTCCTTGATATTCCCACCGCTGGGCGCAGTGGTGGCAGGTGAGGGTTTGGGGCACAACACCGCGGGGGTCACCGGCGCCCCTTCCATCCCTGCTCCACCTCCACCCATCACTCCTGTGGCCGCTCCCGCCCCGCTCCGGGCCCTGTCCGGAACCGTCCCGCCCCGCCCCAGACCCTGTCCGGAACCGTTCCGCCCTGCTCTGGCCGCTCCGATCCCTGCTCCCGACCCCCATCCACCCCCTCCCGTCCCTGCTCCGGCCAGTCACCTAAGGTTGTCCGCCGAGCGGCGGTGAATTGAACCGTCGCTCCCGCGGCCAGTCACTCACCTTAGGTACTCTGCCGAGCAGCGGACGTGAGGTCCGTCCCCTCCCGTCCCTGCCGGGGCCAGTCACCCGCCTCAGGTTGTCCGCCAGGAGGTGAGGTGACCCGTCCTCCCGTCCCTGTCACTCGCCTCGGGTTGTCCGCCAAGAAGTGAGGAGGTGACCCGTCCCCCCGTCCCTGTCACTCGCCTCAGGTTGTCCGCCAGGAGGTGAGGAGGTGACCCGTCCCCCCGTCCCTGTCACTCGCCTCAGGTTGTCCGCCAGGAGGTGAGGTGACCCGTCCCCCCGTCCCCCCGTCCCTGTCACTCGCCTCAGGTTGTCCGCCGAGCGGCGAGGAGCACGGCAGCCGGGCCAGTCGTATCAGCGGCACCCGGCGGCCCTCGGCAGACCGCTGCAGCCCTGTCACCTAGCAGCGCGCGCGGCAGCGGTCAGCGCCGCCGCAGACGGCCGAATAGACGGGCCCGTGCCCTCAGCGCAGCGCTCCGAGCGTGCGAACAGGCAGGCGCTAGGCTATTGCAATTAAATGACCAACCTTATAGAAATATTATGAAAATAATTAAAATGCTAAGTGGCAATACTTAATTGATGTGATAGTGTATCGGCCACAGACCTTCGTCAGTGTAAGGGAGAGTGGGATGTGTCTCTCTGTTTGTGGATAAGAAGCGTGTGGCTTTCATATAGCACCTAGAGCACAGTATTCTTCATCCAAATTCAGTTATACCTTCCAGAGCCATTAACCCGGCAGGCGGTGGGCCTACCAGCCACCTTCCGCGCGGGGGGGGGGGGGCATTTCCCCCCCCCCCCCTCGTATCTCCGAAACTACTGGACGGATCCGGAAAAGTCAAACGGTGTTCGATAGCCCTGTCAAATTTGTCGAAGGAAACCAAATTTCATTGACCTCGGGGTCACCGATGACGTCACAGGTCAGGTCAAAGATAAAATGTTTCACCGTTCTAGGGAAAAGCCGAAAAAAAGTTCTAAGTTCTAGTTCTAGTTCTAAAAAAGTAGGGAAAAAGTTCTAGGGAAAAGCTTCTAGGGAAAGCGCTATAACACGGAGTAAAACGCATTTTGTCGAAAATCAGCGATAAGGCGTCAGTTGTCTAGTATATATGTTGCTATTAGAGGTCACTGGTCATACCAGGTCAGGTCACAGGTCAGGTCACCAAAGGTCACCAAGGGTCACCACATGAGCCCAACTTTACTAAGGTTATGCGATGCATGTTTTATGGCCAGTTTTTCATTTCCAACTCAATGGTGTTGGTTATAAGACCATCAGGTACGGTTTAGGTCACTTTCTAGTGGAGGTCAGGTCAAGGTCAGGTCAAAAAAGGTCAAATTTCAAAGTTGATATTTTTGCATTAAATGGGTATCGATTCGATGCAGCTCGTCACGGGGAGTCTAATGGTGGTCTTTGTTTTGCGCTACGAGGTCTAGAATTGCTAAAAATTGAGATTGAAAATTTGACGTCATCAATTTTGAACAGTTTTTTCGCTATAACTTGATCAAAAAAAGAGGTATCGATCTCAAATTTAGTATGTAGATAGAAGGCGGTAAGGACTATCACATATATTCCGGTTTTTTCGAAATTCAAAAAACTTTTTGGATTTTTTTTTTTGCTATTATATTCAAAAAATATAATTTTGGATTTTTGGGGGTCAAAATCCAAAAAAATCGAAAAACCGAAATAGCAGTTTTGTAGCCCTTTTGATTCCACACCTTTTATGTTTGAAACATTTTTCTGTATCTCTAAAGCTGTAGGCCTGACAGCTCTTCCCGCGAAACCTTTTTTTGGGTCAAAAATGGCAAAAATGACGTCACTCTGACGTCATTAGCGGCCAACCTATCATAGCCTTTGGAAAAAAATTTTGGTCACCATGTGCGCTAGCTGCTCCCGGGAGGGTACTGAGAGTTTGGTGACGATCGGCGCAGCGGTTCTCGAGATATATTGAAAAAAACTAAAGGGGGGCAAAAAAATGCCCCCCCCACCGCCTGGAAGGTTAAAGGGCAAAGCCATTCGATGTTTATGATGCGCTAAATGCATCTTAGAAGCTTTAAAATTAAATTTGCCTCTGGAAAAATATCACACTCTTTACCGATAGTTCTTGCTGTGATTGTGCGAGTCGAACGGACATTCCTCGTTTTTTTTTGGGGGGGGGGGGCGAATAGCTCGCGCAAAAAGTGGCCGATCGCGACGAAACTTTGAGTACCTTCGAGTTGATCACTTTCACACCTACACTGAAAATTTCATGACCCTGACCCAAACGACCCTTGGCCTGTTTCTCCAGACCATGTTTGGCCGGAATGGCGTAACATATCTCACATATAAACACACCGAGAAACATGAAAAGATGATAAATGAATTAGAGAGTTGAACATCACAACGCGTTTGCTAGCCACCTACTGAAGCCTCGTTCGAACATGCGTTGCTCAGCTTTGTGCTTAGTCCGCTCGATCAGAAAGGTCACAATACAAATTATAAATCATCTACAGGAATGAAGCTGCGTACCTCGACAGTTTCTGATGCCACAGGAGGGAAAAGTGCGGAGAACAACGCAAAAGCGAGGAACAAAACTGACGCGTGAATTGCGCAGCCTAAAGGCATCTTACACCTATAGCATAGGCTATGTAAATCTACACCTTTAAAACCTTTTGAGAGTGCTCTGAGATTCATCATCGGGACCGAATCATAGGCCATTCTTCAGAAGCAAAACTGTAGAAATCATCAAAACCCGTTCCGATCTCCGTACTGAAGCACGATAGACGATTCCTATTTCCTCAACCTGAAAACTCCCCATCCCCCGTCTCCATTTCATACCGCACGAGCTGATGAACGCTGATGAAGGTCTGCGGCCGGTATATTGGCAACGCAATGCCGTGTAAGCAGTGAAGTTTTTGAAAAAATAAAATGTCAAAATAATAAGTCATTTAATTGCAATAATTATGTTCCCCAACAAACACCAACCAAACAAAAGTAAATTCGTGAGTACACTTATATAGCAAACCATTCACCGGTTAGGCAGCACACCAATGTACCAGGAACCAAAAATTGAAAACACCAAGCACTAAGTAACACTAAGCAAAACTCCAAACGAGAGCTGCGGCGTTCATAACAGAAAAAAACAAAAGTTGTTAAAGCCGAGCCGGGTACACCAATTACCAAACAAGCTCCACCAGCTACCACTGCATAGCACCAAACCAGCCACCACCGCCACTCCCTGCGACGCGTGCCTCCGGCAGACACCAGCCAGGCCGCCGCGGCCCTCAGCTCCCCGCCGACACACCCGGTGGGTACTCACCGTGTCATCCTTACCGCCGCGGGCCGGCGACGGCGGCGCAGCCGGCGGCGGCGGCCGGCCCGGCGACATGGCCGTCTTGTTGGGGCTGGCGGCCGCCCGCTGCCGGCGCTCCTTCTCGGCCGAGAGCGCCTCCATCAGCCGGCGGCGCGGCTTGAAGGCGGGCGAGCCGGCGGCGGCGGGGGGCTCCGGCTCGGGGGGCGGCGCCAGGCGCGCCAGCAGCGGCGCCAGGTGCTCGGGCACGGCCGGCCGGCGCGGCGCCAGCACGGCGTGCCACAGCCGGCGGCTGGGCTCGGCCGCCGGCGCCGCCTCCAGCAGCGGAGCCAGCTGCGCCAGCACGGCCGTCGGCGACAGCTCACACAGCCGCTGGCGCACCAGGCCGACCAGGGCCTCGTACGCCGACAGCAC